TCAATTACCCACCATAGACTCCGGTCAGTCAAAATGGTCAGAAACCGATAGGTGGCGGGTTTTTTCAAGCAAACAGAAAAAAAATGATGAAAGTCTTTTCCCAGTCCGGGATGAAAACAAACTCAAAACCTTAGTTAAAACCCAAGAAGGGTGGTGTCTTACCTTGCCTGTGCTGTCCCCGAAGCAAGAAGACAATGTTGCTGTGGTGACAGGGTTCGGTGTGCCCGAAAAATCTAGAACCAAGCCGAATTCGGGGGTGATAAGCTTGAAGTAGGACCGAAACAGTTTGCATGAGGGCGTAGGTCGAAAAAAAAAGCTTCCAGGAAGTGCTAGTGGTACAGACAATCTGCCCGCAAGAATGCCAAGACTGACTTATCGTCTATGCGCAGGGGCCTCTGCGGTCGTTCGGGCTTGGTCAGTAATCAAAGCCTGACCTGCTACTATGGGGCCTAACCTGAAGAGACCCTGCTCAGTAGATTGGGTGTCTCTTAGGTAGTAGTTGATGAAGACGTTCTGTGTTTTCCAGAAGCCTGCCCTCAGAATGTGTTCGAGGGGGGCATCTGACGCTAGCGCTAATGAGTTAGCAATCGCACGAACCTCATGTGCTCAAACATGGTGTCTCTGCAAGGTCTGTGTTGAGGAGGATAGTGTATTATAGACCTCCAGTACAGTTGCAGTAATCCACCTGGAGATGGAAATTAGGGAAGCTGGCTTATCCTGTTTGCCAGGGCCGTAACACAAAAACATGTGTTTGGTTCCCCGTCTGGAAAACCTGGTACGGTTCTCGTAGCAACTCAGCACTCGGACCCAGCAGAGAAGCAATTCCTCCTGATCCTCCGGACCGACAATATTTGACAGTCGGGGAATGACGATCGGTTGAGGATCATGTCTTGGGATTTGGTTCTTGGCGAGAAACCCGATTCGTGTCTTTAGTACAACTTGATTGTCCATAAAGGCGATACAACCGTCCGCGAAGGACAGTGCGCCTAGCTCTGACCGGCGCCTACCTGAGGCGAGGACCAGTAGAAAGACTGTTTTCCACGTCAAAAACTAGAGTGGTGCTGAAACGAGGGGCTCAAAGGGAGGTCTGCTTAGGGCTGATAAAACAACCAACAGGTCCCAATTGGGCGGTTCCCTTGAACGGGGCCTTGGCCTCTGATTATGGAAAGCAGTAAACAGTCTCCTAATAATGGGAAAATCGGCTAGACTTGACCCCAGAGAGTTTTCTATGGCGGGGAACAAGGCTGACCTGTAGCCAACGATCGCTGCGTAGGACAGACCCACTTTGTCAAACAAGTAGACAAAGAAGTCTGCTACCTGGCCGATAGAGGGATGGCATGGATCAATCTCCTTTCCACTA